TCACGGCTCTTGAACTCAATCCCTCTATCAATGAAAGCTAACACACCATACGCCTTCTTAACAACTCTATCCACCTGGGTGGCAGCTTTCAGGGAACTGTGGACATGAACCCCAAGATCCCTCTGCTCCTCCACACTGCCAAGAATCTTTCCGTTAACCCTGTATTCTGCTTTCAAGTTTGTCCTTCCAAAATGAATCACCTCACACTTTTCAGGGTTAAACTCCATCTGCCACTTCTCAGCCCAGCTCTGCATTCTATCAATGTCCCTTTGTAACCTAGAACAGCCTTCCACACTGTCCACAACGTGACCCAACTTCGTATTGTCTGTGAACTTGCTAATCCACCCTTCCACTCCTTCATCCAAATCATTTACAAAAATCACAAATAGAAGAGGACCCAGAACAGATCCCTGTGGTACACCACTCGTAACTGAACACCATGTTGAATATTTTCCGTCCACTACCACCCTTTGTCTTCTAAGGGTCAGCCAATTCTGAATCCAATCTGCCACATTTCCCCCTATCCCATGCCTCCTTACATTCTGCATGAGCCTACCATGGGGAACCTTATCAAATGCCTTACTTAAATCCATGTATACCACATCCACTGCTGCACCTTCATCCACGTGTTTAGTCACCTCTTCAAAGAATTCAATAAGGTTTGTGAGGCATAATCTACCCCTCACTCCATGCTGACTATCACGAATCAAACTGTGCCTTTCCAAGTGATCGTAAATCCTCTCTCAGAGCCCTTTCCAATAATTTGCCCACCACTGACGTAAGACTAACTGGCCTGTAATTTCTGGGGTTATCCCTGTTCCCTTTTTTGAACAAGGGAATGACGTTTGCCTCTTTCCAATCTTCCAGCACTATACCCGTGGACAGTGAGGACGAAAAGATCATCACCAAACACCCTGAGATCTCGTCCCTCGCTTCCCATAGAATCCTTGGATAAATCCCATCAGGCCCGGGGGACTTATCTATCTTCAACTTTCTCAGAATTCCTAGCACATCTTCTTTACTAACATCAACCTCCTCTAGCCAACCTGCCTGTTTCACAACATCCTCCTCTACAACTAGGTCCCTCTCAGTTGTGAATACTGAAGAAAAGTATTCATTAAGGACCTCTCCTATCTCTTTAGGCTCTGTGCACAAATTCCCTTTACAATTCTTGATCGGCCCTACCCTTTCTCTGGCCATTCTCTTGTTCTGCACATGTGTAAAAAGCCTTGGAGTTTTCCTTGATCCTATCTGCCAAGGTTTTCTCATGTCCCCTTCTAGCTCTCCTAAGCCCTTTCTTCAGCTCCTTCCTGGCTAACTTGTATCCCTCTGGAGCCTTTTCCATTCCTCTTTTCCTAAACCTTACATAAGCCTCCTTCTTCCTCTTAACCAGTCGTTTGACCTCTCTCGAGAACCATGGCTCCCTCACTTGACCCGTCTTCTTTGCCTGCTAGGGACTAACATATCCAGCACATGCAGTATGAATTCCTTAAACAATCTCCACACTTCTGTGGTGCTCTTCCCTGACAGCATCTGTTCCCAATTTATGTTACCCAGTTCTTGCCTAACTGAACTGTAATTACCCTTCCCCCAATTGTAAACTTTACCCTGTCGTATGTACCTATCCTTATCCATGACTATCGTGAAAGAAACAGAGTTATGATCGCTACTGTCAAAATGCTCTCCTACCAACAGGTATAACACTTGGCCCGGCTCGTTGCTAAGCACCAAATCCAAAGTGGCCTCTTCTCGTGTTGGTCTATCTACATACTCTGTCAGGAATCCTCCCTGAACGCACTGGACAAAATCTGCTCCATCTAAACTATTACAACTAAAATGTTTCCAATCAATATTTGGAAAGTTGAAGTCACCCATGACTACAACCCTGTGACTTCTGCACCTTTCCAGTATTTGCCTCCTAATCCGCTCCTCTAATTCTCTGCAACTATTAGGGTGTCTGTAAAAAACCCCCAACAAAGTGACTGCTCCTTTCTTCTTGTTCCTGACCTCAACCCAAACTGATTCTGTAGACATATCATTCTCAAACTGCCTTTCAGTAGCTGCTATACTCGCCCTGACTAGCAATGCCACTCCCCCACCTCTTTTTTCCACCCTCCCTATTTCTTTTAAAGCATCTAAATCCCGGAACTTCCAACAACCATTCCTCTCCCTGAGTTACCCAAGTTTCTGTAATGGCCACAACATTGTATTTCCAAGTACCGACCCATGCTCTAAGTTCATCCACTTTATTTCTGATACTTCTAGCATTGAAGTATACACACCTCAAACCATCTCTGTGTCCACAATTATGCTCCATCGACCGCATTTCTTTATAAACCACCTCACTCCCTGTTGTGTCTGTTGGAAGGCCGAATACCTCATCCTCTGAAATACAAATCTGGTTCCCCACCCCCTGCCAAACTAGTTTAAACCATCCCGTACAGCTCTAGCAAACCTCCCTCCTTGGATATTTGTGCCCTTCTGTACTGGTCCCACCTTCCCCAGAATGTGCTCCAATTATCTACATAATGGAAGCCCTCCCTCCTACACCAGCCCTGTAGCCACGTGTTTAGCTGCACTCTCTCCCTATTTCTTACCTCGTTATCACGTGGCAGTGGTAGTAATCCAGAGATAACTACCTTGTTTGTCCTGGACTTCAGCTTCCAACCTAACTCCCTGTACTCGTTTTTCACATTCTCAGTCCTTTTTCTACCTATGTCATTGGTACCGATGTGTACCATGACTGCTGGTTGCTCACTCTCCCCTTTAAGGATCTTGAAGACACGATTCAAGACATCACGGACCCTGGCACCCGGGAGGCAACCTACCATCCGTTCATCTCGTTCGCGTCCATAGAACCACCTGTCTGTGCCTCTTACTATTGAATCCTCCACTATAATTGCTCTCCTATTCTCCCCCTTCCCTTCTTTGCCACAGGGTCAGGCTCAGTGCCAGAGACCTGTCCGCTATGGCCTTCCCCTGGTAGGTCGTCCCCCCCCAACAGTATCCAAAACGGTATACTTATTATTGAGGGGAACGGCCACAGGGGATCCCTGCACTGTCTGCCTATTCCCTTTCCCTTTCCTGACAGTCACCCAGCTACCTTTTTCCTGTACCTTGGGTTTGACCACCTCCCTGTAACTCCTCTCTATCACCTCCTCAGCCTCCTGAATGATCCGGAGTTCATCCTGCTCCAGCTCCAGTTCCCCAACATGGTTTTTGAAGAGCTGGAGTTGGGTGCACTTCTCGCAGGTGAAGTCAGAGGGGACACCAGCAGTGACCCTTACCTCCCACATCCTGCAAGAGGAGCATGCAACTGCCCTAGTTTCCATTCCCACTACCAGGGGTAATGGTCTCCTTCCTTTAAAGTATATTAACATAGAATAGAATAGCCTCAATGACTATAGTGAAAAGTTAAATGTAGCCAATTATAGAATTGACTTGTATACAAAAGCACCTAGGCACATCTTCTTTTGTTACAAGATTGTTACAGAAATGAAATGTCCAGATTACAGAAAAGAGTTCAGTACAGCAAACAATGCTAGCACTTAGCTTATAGTCCGCACTGGGTCCTGGCTCCAAATTGCATGCCAGTTGGCCACCGCAGGAGGCCAGAAGGTCGCCTAGCCACACCAGGAGGCCCCATGCGAGGAGGCCGCTGCACCAGGACTGGAGGTCACCACACAACGCCAGGAGGACATTGCAGGAGGCTGAGAGGACGCCATTCCTCGCTGGGAGGCTGCTGCACCAAGTTGGGAGGTCGCCATGCCAACACCAGGAGGCCAGGAGATTGCCGCACCAGGCCGGAAGTCATCACCATTCGCCAGGGATCATCATTCGCTGGAGGAGAGTGAACATTGCTCCACTGTTGCTGGGTCAAAATCCTGAAATTCACTTTGTAACAACACTGGATGTATGTATACCCTAGAGCTACAAGCATTAAGACCACCGTTTAGCATCTCCTTCTCGAGGGCAGTAAATGCTGGCCTAGAAAACAGCACCCACATCCCAGAAATAAACTTTTAAAAAGTTACACCAGCAGTGCAGCACATACATAACTTTGCACTGTTTTGTGGTAGATAGAAAATCTTTTGAACTGATGCCAACTTCCTGTTAGTGGAAAATACTACTCATATCGATTGCTTAGTAGCAGTGTGAAAATTTTGAAGCTTTGCCTTTCCAAGGTAATTTGAGATAGACTAAGTACTTTTCAAGTCCAGGACTGGTGGTCTTAGGTCCATTTGTGAGAAATTCTGGAAGCTCAGCATTTTCCTGGATGAAGCAATCCATTGTTCAAACACGGGCATTCTGTGGTTGCAGTGTGTATTATCTACTGAATACACTGGCAATTTCTCCCAAATCTGCAACTTTCCTGGAAGCACAAGAGCAGGAGGAACATGAAAATGCAGTCACCTCCAAGTTCCCCTTCAAGTTACAAAACACAGCAACTTGGACACAAATCAGCATTTTCTCATTACCATTCTGTTGCAGTCCTGTGCTTCACCCTATGGACTACATTGGTTGAAAAAGAAGGCCCACAGCCACTTCTGAAAGTGCCACTACCTAGTAAGCGTAAATCTTGCAAGAGATGCCCTAATCCCAGAAAACATTTTGCATTCAGTAGGTGCATCAGCTGTGGGCGGGTGAGAACAAAACTTACCATGTGGTTTCTCAACTACTTAATTTCCCAGTTTAAGCAATTCTTTTGCACATTTATTTAGCATACATATAATTTTGTAGAATTTAATTAAATTTCTTTAAAACCATGGAGTATGTGGTCATTCACAGAATAATGTTTTTTTTGTTTTATGGTTGTTACTGTAAAATTCTATGATTTTTAAATTAAAATGGCATTTAATAAATGTTACCATTCTTTTACTTTGGATGCTATTTTTAGAAGTTACGCCAAACCATATTTTATATAGATACTGACATGATGAAAGTTAATTGGCTGATTGTTAAACATGCAAAATTTATTTCAGCATTAAAATTATCCACAGGAAATTCCTGTACAACGCCAAATTCCTCCATATCCTGTGGAACTGCCAAAGCTGAATGTTCCAGCTACAACAAAGATTGTTGCCTACCCAAATCAGAGTTTAAAGTCTGTCTTTCCAACAGCATCAAGGGCTGAAAATGGAACTCTACCCCAAGTGCCAAGCAAGGTATGAAATCTATCTTTTGTTCAGCTCTAGTTAAAGGCTGCTTTTTTTTTCAAAAAATTCTAACCATTTTGTACATGATGGTCAATTTAAAGAGTGATGAAACAGACACTGTTCAGGTTAGAGATGATTTCACTGTCAGAACTCCAGTTTATTGATTTCAATCACCAGTGGTATACTGCTTCTCTTCTCATGTTTCAATTATTTGAGTAAAAGTGTACATACCATGGGTAACCAGCTAACTTAATCTGGAAAAGCGTAGGGACATTAACACCTTCAAATTGTTTCCATTAGAATCCACTGCCATTCCTACCTCTGTTTGCAGATTACAAGGCAATGCAGCTACTTTCATTTTGTCTTCATTGCTGAAACATGAATTAACAAGAAATCCACAAGATTTTAATATCTATATGCAAATGAAGATGAATAATCGCACCAATCATGCATGTACAAACTGAATTTTTTGGTACAGTTTACTTTATCCTCTGACTTCTCCTTAAGATAAGGTACTTAACACTAAATTATACTTCCAGAACCAGGGGTCACAGTTTAAGGATATGGAGTGGGCTATTTAGGACTGAGATGAGGAGAAATCTCTTCACCCAGAGAATGGTGAGCCTCTAGAAATCTCTGCGACAGAAGGTGGTTCAGGCCAAAACATTGAATGTTCTCAAGAAGGAGTTAAATATAGTTCTAAGGACTAAAGGGATCAAATGTATGAGGAGAAAGTGGGAACAGGGTACTGAGTTGGATGATCAACCACGGTCATATTGAATAGCCGAGGAAGCTCACAGGGCCAAACTCCTCCTCCCACGTTCTGTGTTTCTAAGGTATGGTACCAGGGGTAATGGTCCAACTGATTTGTTTCCATCTGAGAGCATTGTGTAGCTGAGTTGTACCCTTATCCTTACCAGGCATTTACACGTGCATGTTTCCTGCTGCACATATGTATAGTTTTCAGAAGCAGAAACATCATAATAATAATGTAAGAAAAAAGAGTAGTCAAGACTCACATGGGTGCTTTAAAACAAAATGAGGAAATGGCAGACTTCTTTAATAATTTGTGGCAGTAGAGGGAAAGGATTACATATAATTGATATCCCAGGAAAATTAATAATGATTCAAGGACTGGAACTCATTGAAATTAATATAGGCAGGAAAATAATATTTGAAAAAATAATGGCACTGAGATAGCCAAAAACCTCAGAATTTAATGATTTCCACCCATTGTTTTAAAGCACGTAGATAACTAAAATACAGTAGCTTTAGCCATAACCTTCCAAAACTCAACTAATTTAGAAGCTGTCCTTAGATTAAAAAGTCGTAAATCTTATTATTTTTGAAGGGGAGATAATGAAACCAGGAAATTATAAATCTGCATATCTAAAATTAGTTGTGGTAACCTATTGTAATTAGAACAATTACCTATTGTAATAAAGGAAAATGACGAAACACTAGAGAAATTGGGGGTGATTACGGACAGCCTACCCTTTAGAAACTGTGTAATGGCCATGTTTAGTGAAGATGTGTGGATTTTTTTGGTAAGGTTGTATGGTAATCTGGAAGTAAGATCCATATTGGAGGCAGTTAGCAAAATTCAAAGCTAATGAATATGAAGGCAAATATCCACCTGGTTAGGAGATTGAGTGTACGGTGAAAAAGTTGCATAGAGTTAAACAGAGAATACCGTACAGAAACAGCAAATTTTGATTAACAAATGCATGCTGCAAGTAATGCTCCACTTGAGACTTCTTTATCCTTTTTCAACCAATTCTATCAGCATAGCCCTTTCAGTTTTCCCTTCTTCTTAGGCAGTCCTTCAGAATTGAAGATAAGAGATAACAAGGTGTAGAGCTGGATGGACACAGCAGGCCAAGCAGCATCAGAGGAACAGGAAGGCTGACGTTTCGGGCC